GTCTGGGTTGTACTCTTGGTTTGTGGATTTCATGGTCCTTCTCATCCATTCTTTTCAACTCTGTTGTCTGTTAACGAAAGATTGAGAATGATTTTAAGACGAGAGAGAGAGCGTCTGAAGGAATGTGTTGGTTTGTGTATGGGTTGCTTGGAGAATTTGGCCACAGGGGTTTTGCAGATTCACGGTGAAGGTGAAAAATTAAGAGAAAACCGACATAGATTTTTGTGTCGATTCCCACAGACGGCACCAAATGTTGATGCACAAAACCGGAGGTCTTGGAACAACGTAAATCCGACCGTGAATCTGCAAGTAATGTAAATAATACAAGATGTATCGTGGTTCACCCCAAGGTTTGGGCTACGTCCACACTGATTGTATTTATTTGAAGGAGAGAGAGCTCTGAGAGTGAGAGCGTTGAGAGAGGGTGAGATGGCCTAAGTATTTTGGCCTCCCCTAATTATGAGGGTGAGGGGTCCTTTTATAGAATAAAGACTCCTCACTTATTACATATTTGCCCCTTCCTTTATCACATAATTACATTTAAGTCCCCCGAGTATTTATACGAGGTCTAAATACGAGACTCTAAATATGGTATAAACAAACACAATACGTTGAAATGAAGCAAAGCTTGTTTATTGATATCTCCGATAAGTTACAAATATGTACATATACATGAATCAAAATAAACAAACAAGATGGAGCCTTCACAAAGGTTGCTCATGAGAAGTCTCAGCAGTCGGCAAAGCCCCAGAAAGAGTAGGCACCAAAGGGTGATCATTCAGAGCCTCAATACTGGGCAGAACCCCAGAAGGAGGAGGCACCGAAGGTTGATCATTTGGAGCTTCATTACGCTGTACAGCCCCAGAAGACGAAGGTAATAAATGCCTTTGGAACAAACCCACAAACCTCTGATGATCAAGTAAAATCTGACCATCAGATTCCTGCAGCTGGTCAATCTTCATCTTTATGTTTGTAGCATAGTCATGTGCGAGCCTGTGCAACTGCTTATTCTCATGCTTGAGCCCTCTGATCTCCTATTTGAGATTTATCACTTCAGCTGCTAATGATTCAACTTGGCAGGTTCGAGCAAATAGGCGTTGGGCCATATTAGACACAGAACCTGCACATTGAAAACTGAGAGCCAGATAATCCTTAACAGCCAACTCATCAGATCGTTTGGAAAGTAGTCTGTTATCTTTAGGAGTGAGAAGGTTCCTGGCCACCACCGTAGCGGTTATATCATTTTTCGTCACAGAGTCCCCAACTGTAAGAGGACCAGTATGGGATAAGAATGATGGGTGCCATATGTTGTCTTGAGAAGACATGGCTGGCTCTTCACCAAAGATCAAGTCAAAACGACGATCGGATGGAACAAACATTCTCAGAAATGATGAAAGAGAAATGAGGTGCAATAAATCTCTTAAGTACAAAAATAAGGGGAAAATTCCTACAAGCAATAACTTTCTGAATGTACTTATTACACACAATTGGTGCCCTTATAAAAGAAAGGGTAACATGGCTATTGGTTTAAAAATCGAAGAGGCACCACTCTTTGAATCTCAAAGAGGCACCACTCTCCATACGCAACATCAGCTCCTCGGATACCACAGATAACTTTGCCAAATATCTCTGACAAAGTTTAGACACATAAATTTTGAAGGTCCAGCTACCCTACTATTACCCACAAGGGTAAAGGAACAGCATCACTGCTTGATAACTAGAAAGTCCCAATATGTGTCAACCTCCGTGCTCTGTGACAAGGCAGACTGGCAAAAATGCTCAACCTTTACTCACAATCGAGAAAACACTCCCAACAAGATTGTTTGCTCAAAAATCGAAGAGGCACCGCTCTCCGAATCTCGAGAGCTAAACTCCCAACAAGATTACATGCTCAAAAATCGAAGAGGCACCGCCCTTCGAATCTCGAGAGCCAGACTCCCAACATGATTACTTTATACAAAATTGAAGAGACACTGCTCTCCGAATCTCAAGAGTCAGACTCCTAACAGGATTGCTTTCTAAAAAATCGAAGAGGCACCGCTCTCTGAATCTCGAGAGCCAGACTCCCAACGGGATTACATGCTCAAAAATCAAAGAGGCATCGCCCTCCGAATTTCGAGAGCCAGACTCCCAACAGGACTACTTTCTAAAAAATCAAAGAGACACTGCTCTCCAAATCTCAAGAGTCAGACTCCCAACAGGATTGATTTCTCAAAAATCGAAGAGGCACTGCTCTCCGAATCTCGAGAGCCAGACTCCCAACAGGATTACGTGCTCAAAAATCGAAGAGGCATCGCCCTCCGAATCTCGAGAGCCAGACTTCCAATAGGATTACTTTCTTAAAAATCAAAGAGATACTGCTATCTGAATCTCAAGAGTCAGACTCCCAACATGATTGCTTTCTTAAGAATCGAAGAGGCTCAAGAGCCAGATCCCCAACAGGATTGCTTGTTCGAAAACCGAAGAGGCACCGCTCTCCGAACTTCGAGAGCCAGATTTCCTTGGATAAAGCTTGTCTGCAATCTTCACACGCAACATCAGCTTTCCAAATACCACAGACCACTTTTTCAAAGTGCTCTGACAAAGTTAAAACACGTGAAGCTTGCAGCTCCCACTACATTGCTATGACCAAGAAGGGTAAAAGAATAGCACTACTACTTGTTGTTAGGGATACTCATATATATGTCGACTTCCATCCTCCACAGCCAGGCAGACCTGCAAATAAAAAAAATGCTTAACTTTTCTTCAGATCCGAGAGGGCACTCTCAACAGAATCTCTCGAAATACTTAGCTTCTTTTTCTCTCGATAATACCTCTGCAAACAAGCCACACCAGAGCAAGAGTATCTCATATCATCATGCTTAAAAGCAAGAGTATCCCATATCATGCTTTTTCCCTGTCTTGTCCTTTGGCCTTGTTCTTACATGTAAGACAAGGAGAAAGAGAGCAATTAGTCAGCACTTGGAATCAAGCTTCCAGTCAGGAACTGATTACCTGGAACCATTTGCCTGATTACTTACCTGGCATTACTCTCGAGTACTTATCTTCAACATCTTATACTTCCAGAGAAGATACCACATCTGCCTGAGGAACAGATATGGAAAGTGATAAGGATACAAAGAAGCATGTGGAGACAAGCGTAACAGAACACGTGTCGATACATCCACTACTTTGTCAACAGCAAAAGTATCTCATATCATCAGGGTCGAACGTACTCTAGATTTGATGGACTTGTTTTGACCCTCAAATTCTTAAGTCGGCTTTATACTCTGGAAGAAACCAGAAAATCCTCCAGCCCAGTTCAAGAATAAGCTTGTAGAAAGTTACTTCTTCAAAAGAAAAAGTATCTCATATCATCTTTTCTCCATTTACTTCTCCTTATCCTTGTTGCTGTTTACGACACAATAAGAAGGAGAACAATCAACTGAAATCCGAAGTCGAACCTCCGATCCAGGTTGCTTGCTTGGAAGTCTGATTGTTTACCTTGTCTGTTACCTCATTCGGCAAATCTCATAGCTCGGCGACTTAGGGGACTCCTACTATAGGGTTTGTATCGCACTTGACCAAGCCCGAAATTATAAGTAAGCTTCAAGTGAAATTGATACATTACCTTGTGCATCTTCATCGGTTAAAGATACCACCCCTGGATGGAGGAAAAGTACTTCCAAAGAAGATGCCACATCTACATATGAGATAGATAAGGCAAGTGAAAATGATACCACACTTCGGTACTTAGAAGTTTCGTGATTACTTAATGGCTTGGATCTTGCAAGTCCCCAATCGAGGAGCTTCCCTCACTCGGGAACTTAGGGGAGCACTGTTTGTACCATACTTGACCAATCCCGAAACTACTGAGCACCGGTCAACGTTATACCGTTAAGGACTCAGAAGAGTTTCCCTTCAACCAGAAAGCCAATCATAGCGCGACATGTGTTGACATCAAAAACCAATCATAGCGCGACACGTGTCAACATCAGAAGCCAATCACAACACGACACGTGTCAATGTCAGAATGAAACTAGAAACTCTCTTCTATAAATAGAGATCATTCTCTCACAATATTTCCTAATGTCATTGGTACTAAATCATTCACTAGTACTCACAAAATGAGAGATTGAACCTATGTACTTGTGTAAACCTTTCACAATTAATAAGAACTCATCTACTCCGTGGACGTAGCCAATTTGGGTGAACCATGTACATCTTGTGTTTGCTTCCCTGTCTCTATCAATTTACATACTTATCTACACTATAACCGGAGCAATCTAGCGAAGGTCACAAACTTAACACTTTCTGTTGTACCAAAGTTCTCACTGATTTTGTGCATCAACATATTTCATTCCATATATTTTTTACCCTTTTTTAGCTAATCAATTAGCTATTTATTTTATTAATTCCATAACCTCCAAAACTTTCTTTCTAAAAATGTGTTAATTGGCTAATTAATGGATTAATTGCCTAATTAATCCATTAATGGCCAAATAAATCACACATTAAACCACAAAATACACCTAAAAAACATCCCAAAGGCCGGCCACCTTTTCTCCAAAGGGGACCGGCCATACTCTATATATTGAGCCCCATTTCTCTACAAACCTAGGTCTACATTCTTGCAAAACTCCAAAAACTCTCTAAACATTTTTTCTCTCTAAATTCTAACTTTGGCATCGAAGGTTCTTCGGCCAAAGCCCCCCCATTCATCGTGGGCGCGTGAGACTCTTGGCTCTGACCATAAGGTGTTAATTGTTTTGTAGGTACAATTTTGTTCAAGAAGAAGAAGGGGGAAATTTGCATTCACACAAATGACATACGTTTGAAAGTCAAGTCCTTGTATATGTTTTATGTTCATAATTATTGCAGAAGTTGAAGTCTTGGTTTTATTTGTTCATTTATTGAGAACCTCTATTGTAAAGTATTTGGATAAGATTTCTTTGGTGCCATCTCTTATTCAGTATCATCTAGCCAACAACCGTCGTTATGTTGCATTTGCAGGTGTTGCACAAGAAAAGGATAATGCGCCAAATGGAGATGGAGAAAAGAAGGAAAATTAGCCCGCAGAGTCCAAGTGCGCCAAGAAGAAGAAAAAGAAGGATAAAGCTTCAAAGGAGGTCAAAGAATCACAGGATCAACCAAACACTCAGGGCCACTAATGAACTGAGTGAAGTTACTGAAGTCGAACAGATGGAGGAGGATACGTCAAATATTGACATGAAGGAGCGATTAAAGAAGGTTGTATCAGTGAAGAAGAAGAAATCTAGTAAAGAGTTGGATGCTGCGGCAAAAGCTGCTGCTCAAGAGGCAGCTACTAGGAGAGCACGACTTGTTGCAGCTAAGAAGAAAGAGAAGAACCATTACAACTAGCAACATGTGCAGTAAAAAGCCCAAATTTCGTTCAACATCGTTATATATGAACATGTAATTTCTCTTTGTTCATAAGGGCGAAGTTGTGCGAAACAAAGAGTGGGTGTGGCGGCTGTGGGTTAAAATTTTTATTGCGCAGTGGACTAGTAGGAAGTTTTCACATTTGGCTGTTGTTAATCATTTTTTGTTGCTCGGTTGTCATGGGGACGTATGGAATTAGCAAGTTTTGCTCATTTGATAGTCCTTCTTGGAGAGAGTCAGTTTTAACTTGATACATGTTTGTACTGTAGTTGTTCCTCCGCGTTGTGTTGCTGTTACAAACTTGTGTATGAAATTCTATGAATGGACGGACACAATCAGAAATTATTGCATTTCTTCTCTGTGTGAGCTGAAGGACAAAACTGGACGTTTTTTAGATCGTTTAATAAGATATACCAATGTACTATTGAAAAGGCTTACATTTCATTGTCATCGTAGCGTCCCGACCTAATAATGCATTATTGATTGTAATGTTATACGTCAGTGAATCTATTATAAGTAATTTGAATGACATGCAGTAAATCACGAGCGATAGGTAAAGATGCAATTGCCATAATTGCTTCTAGATTATCAGCTCATTATACTTCTATCAAAATGCTTATAGTAAAAGCGCTTATAAGTTAAAAGTGATTTTTATTTTTCAATTTAAGTAACGACATGGTGTATTCCAATTATTAGCCTCCTTTTTTAAAAAGGATCATTGATTGGCAAACAAATGGATGAGATGAGACTTGAGAGGGAGGGGAGTCTTGATTAATCCACTTTGTTCTTGCTCAGGCTGGTACGCTATCGCTAGATAAGGTCATTTCTGACATTTCAGGTGGTCCACGTGGCATTTCCGTCCCATTAAAAAAAAAAAACCCTTTTCCTCCCCAGTTGTCGTCACTCGTTCACCATGAAGAAGTAGCAGCAAGCAGAAGTAAACACAAACAAACCGGCGATTCGAGCAAACCTTCTCATTCTCTCCCCCTCCCCCCCCCCCCCCCCTCTCTCTCTCTCTCTCTCTCTCTAGCAAGATTGAATCCCGGAGAAGCAAGCAGTACCTGTGAAATGCTCCATTTCGACACTCCAGGTTCTAATTTCTTCAAACTAGCACATTTTGTTTCCGAAAAATGAAAATTGTATCGAAAGTATTGGAATCTTATGAATAATTGGGCGTTTTCGGGTTCGAAACCAGCAGAGAAACAAGAAGTTTGGATTCAGATTAGCTCTGTTACCTCTAGGCTATTGCCTCTCTCTGAGTCAGAGTGACAAGCAGTTTTAGGGCTCTTTTTTTTTTTCAATTAGCGAATTAATCGGAGTAAAATTCGCAATTTTGAGGAGCTTTTTGGGTCTTCGAGAAGGAAATTGATACAGTATGTATGTTTTGTTGAATAATGATTTATAACTGTGATTGACAGATTGTTTAGTAGGAAAATCTTGTGTGCCATGTCTTAGTATTACTCTGATAACTAGTAACTGAATTGTCCATTGGTGCTTCGTAACAATTAGCTTTCGGTGGTTCTAAGTCCGTTATTCTATCTTTTACTTTATATCCATTTGATGACTGTTTTGGGTTTGGTGTGGATTATTGATTCAATATCAACATCTGTTCCTGTAGGGTTCAAATGTCTAGTCGCATCGTGATTTTCTGATTTGTTAGGGGACTAAGAGCTGCTTCTTGGTCCCTGGCCGATGACTTGCAATTGGATGTTGTTGCTTAAGGGAAGATAATGAGCAGTAAACTCCTCTGCCCATTTATTGGGGTTTCACTTCACGACTCTTTAAATGGTAGAAACAATGGAAATTTCATTTATTGGGACAGAGGGCGTACGGGAAAAAGGGCTGCTCGTAGGTGTGTATGTGAAAAGCAGAACTATTGGATTTCTCAAGCAATTAAAGTTTCACATTTTTGGGGAAAAAATGTGGAATTATTAAGGCGAACCTTCGAGCTAAAAAATGGGATGAAGGTGCAATGTGTTAAAGAGCCCTTTTCTCGAAGCAAGGCTCTGGTGAGGTCTCTGTCTCCTCTGTTGGAAGAGGGGTTACTTTTAATTAGGTGCTCTGTACTTTTGGCTGTCATATCTGGGGTGTGCTTATTGGTATGGTACGGGCAATCCAAAACCAAGGATTTTATTGAAGCCAAGCTTTTGCCTTCTGTTTGTTCAGTACTCAGTGAATATGTTGAGCGTGAAGTTGTTTTTGGTAAGGTTCGGAGGTTATCGCCTTTGAGCATCACACTGGACTCTTGTTCAATTGGGCCTCATAATGAGGAATTTTCTTGTGGTGAGGTCCCATCTATGAAACTTCGGCTTCATCCTTTTGCAAGTCTTAGGAGGGGAAGGATTGTGATTGATGCGGTTTTGTCGCATCCGACGGTCTTGGTTGCACAAAAGAAGGATTATACTTGGTTAGGGATACCCTCAACTGAAGGTGGTCTACAAAGGCACTTATCTAACGAAGAAGGAATTGATCATCGAACCAAAATCCGAAGGCTTTCTAGAGAAGAAGCGGCTGCTTGCTGGGAAAGAGAAAGAGATGAAGCGGCAAAAAAAGCTGCAGAGATGGGTTACATTGTTTCTGACAAGGGTTCCAGTCCTTCAAATGGCAATGACTCAAAGGAAGGTGATAGCCATTCAGTAGATTTAACAAGTTCTGAGTCATTTCCATGCATGGATGAAAAGATGCACTGGAGGGATCATTGCATGGACACAGGCGTTGATTATGAAATAAAGCATGCAGATTTGGAGAAATCGTTAGGTGTCAAAATTCCTGGGTCAGGGCTTAAATTTTGGTCCAGAGTGATAAAGGGGCCTAAAAAGCACAAATTTAAAAGGAAGGGTTATGGGAGTGATATCTCTGCATCCGGTATTACTGCCAAAAGAAGAATTCTTGGGTACAGTGCAGCAAGGGCACTTGCATATTTTCAGGATCTATCTCATCGGAAGTCTGACGAGCCTTTACAGTCATCTGGAGTTTATGATGTGATGAACCTTGACACCTATTTGTTGAACAATGTGGTTGATACTAATGCTGATGCCTCCATCACAAGTATTGGTGAAAAAACTGTAAGAGATGACAACCACAATGGAAAGCATTACGGAGATTCAGCAGACTATCCTCTTAAAGAAAATGAGAATGTCAACAGTCATTTAAATAGTTCTAATTTCATGGATGATCCGCTTCCTATGATTTTTGATAGGTCTAATGGAGATGGGATGTCCAGTAAAACTTTCCCATTCACTGAAAATGTTGCAGGAGCTAAAACCATAAGTGGTAATGTAAACGATGAGGATTTTGGAGTCGATGTTGTAAATAAGCATACTGAGATATCAGAGAGGCAAAGAGGTCAGATGCTGCAGACTTCAAATTTTGCAACATACAATCAAGTTCCTACATGGCCCCTAAGCCTGAAATTAGGTTTTCCCCCCTTTGCAGGAGAGCCATTAGCCTTTCTCTCTGGACCCATTCAAAAGCTGACGTCTAGTGTGGGCCCCAGAGTTGAAGATATTGTTGCAGAACTTGTCGACGGGGTCGGTGTTGGGCAGTCTGAAGGCATTGAGAAGATGCTTCCAGTTACACTAGATTCTGTTCATTTCAAAGGAGGAACATTGATGCTACTTGCATATGGCGACAGGGAACCTCGGTAGAGTCACTTATGTTATACATTTTCTTGTTTTACTCTTTATAGTAACATAATTCTCTTGCTGACTCGTCATAATATGATTTACTTTGCTGTAGATGCTAGCTTTCCTTTAACCATTGTGCTGAGTTTTATCTAGAAAACCTTGTTGGTGTTGGGATTTTGACATATCAGATAGAGGTCTAACTATATGAATTAGAATCACTCATCTTTTAAGTTGTTTCCACTTTTCTGTGAATAATGGTAATGCATTGTCTTATGCAAGAAAAAGTTTATAACAAGATAAATTTTGCATTAAGTTGAGCATTTATGATTTTTATAAAATGTTTATAGAGAGATGGAGAATGTCGATGGACATGTGAAGTTTCAAAATCACTATGGCCAAGTTCACGTACAAGTTAGTGGAAACTGTAAGGTGTGGAGGTCTGATAACATATCTGAAGATGGCGGCTGGTTGTCTACAGATGTTTTTGTTGACATTGTTGAACAGAAATGGCATGCCAACTTAAAAGTTGCCAACTTGTTTGTTCCGGTAAGGGAAACACTACAAAATAAAATATGACACATAATTAAGATTACAAACACCTTTGGATTTCCAAACTGAGGTCACAAAGTTGGTTCACGTGCCTTGTGTGCTGGTTGTCTCTTCTTCTGCAGCTTTTTGAAAGGATCTTAGAAATTCCAATAATTTGGTCCAGAGGAAGAGCCACTGGTGAGGTGCTTCTCGAACTTAAATGTGTACTTTATTGCTTTCTATTATAAATTTTTATGGTGGCACATCTCCAGTTTATGCCTCTGAATGGGTTATATTGTTTCTGTTGCTGAAGTAATTACATGAATTTATTCTTAGCGGCAATTGCTGCTTGTTGATTATTCCTTTAGTTCTAAGGTTATGTAAAATTCTGTGTATCTAAAATCACAATATGTCACATTTCAACTATATTTTCTCATTTGACATTATGTAGGAGAAATAAAAGTTCATTGTGAGATTTTATTTTGTTTGTTTTGAGATATATATGTACTTTTACTATTTCAGGTTCACTTGTGCATGTCAAGTGGAGAAACATTTCCTAATCTTCATGGACAGCTTGATGTGACAGGGTTGGCTTTTCAAACAATTGGCGCGCCTTCATCATTTTCTGTATGTCCTGGTTCTACGTTTTTGTTTCTTTTGTTGAACCTGTATGGATACAATATGCTTGTTGCGGTAGATGTTCCTTCTCCCTGCAAATAGACTTGGTAGATCGCCTAAAAATAGGAACTACTTCTGGTTCCAATATATCATGAAAAACTGAATCTGTCCAAATAGTTATCAATTTAATAGAGTGTGTTGTAATGCATTTTGCACTTGATTTACTAGGGCTTTGGTCTTTTATAATCATACTTGTTGTCTTACATGTTACTGTTTCTAACAACACATAATATGCAAAACGTTATAGCTCTATGGTTCTCAAAACATGCAATAGGTTTATGGTTGAAACTTGAAACCATCCCTCATGCGCATTGT